CTGATTTAAAGCATTTAACCATTGAGCCATTGACATACGAATGAATACTAATTACTTGGGGGATTTTTAAATTAAATTAAATCCCGAAGTTTTCTGAGAGGATAAATTAGCTAAATTCAAGAAAATTACTTAACTTATAGTTATTCTATGATTTCTATTCTTTACACAAAGAAAACAATGTGACTTATATACTAGATAAAGATAGAAAGGCCTACTTGACTTGGGCCATCTTGTAAAAAAAAAATTAAAAATCAAATTATACACTCACAAAAATTTGCCTCACTGAATGATTACTTTGATTTCCAGTTATATAGATGCTCATAACTAATCAGGTGCAAGGCTTATTGTGGCTATGGCGTTGCCTAGCTTAATTTGTTGCTTAACACAATTATAGCTTCAATCCCCTGAACATTGCACCCCCAAATCACTCCAACCCTCTGGTTGATGTCAGATATGGGGAGGGAGTCGGGTACGGGGAAGGGTGAGTGAGAGCCTTTATCACGCTGATGGACAGGGGGTGGGGGGGGGGAGAGATCATCTCGAAATTAAGTAAGGAGGTTCAGGAGTGTGAGTAATAAGTAAAAATCTACAGACTATGTTTCTAGAATGTAAACTATAAGTAGAACCTTTATTGATGAAATACTAATCATATTCAGATGTAAGCCATGGCCAATTCAAACTAATTACAGAGTAAGAATTAATCCTTTCTCCGAGTCCAAAGCTGGATGCAATTTAGAAGTTAAACTCAAAATTTGTGACACAAATTATAAATTGTATCACCCATTTTCAAAAATTTGTGATACCCCCTCTCCGCGAAGTGTCATCGTTTATGGATGGGCTTAATCATAATCACTTACCCTAGCTATACCACTGATTTTATATTACAGACGTAAAAATTGATAAGCTTATACTATAGCCTACATAGATTATTCTTTAAAAGTAAAGGCATTATGATCTGACTTTTTTCCCCAAAATACACTTCAGTTCTTCCGAAGGCGTTGAAAATGTTGTGTTATTTTAATGAGTAGGTGAGTAGCCTATAAACTATCAGTATAAGTATAGGCAAGACCTACCAATATATTTGCAATTTCTAAAAACTCAATCATATATTTCATATAATGAAACATTGTTTAAGTGTTACACTCACATGCAAGACTTCACAAGAACATATATATTTTATGGTCACATGCTTTCCATTAGTTCATTCTTATAATGGAAAAAAAAAAAACAGAAAAGATTTATAATCTAAAATTTGAATTTTAATAGCTATCAAAACAAGAAAAAAAAATAAAGGAAAAAGACCATTACTATTTTTTTTATTTTCTAAAAACTAAATCATATATTTCATATAATGAAACATTGTTTAAGTGTTACACTCACATGCAAGACTTCAAAAGAAAATAAATATTTTATGGTCACATGCTTTCCATTAGTTCATTCTTATAATGGAAAAAAAAAAACAGAAAAGATTTAGAAGCTAAAAGTCGAATCTTAATAGCTATCAAAACAAGAAAAAAAAATAAAGGGAAGTGACCTTTACTATTTTTTTTAATCATTATATTTGCGTTTGTCTGGTTCTTAACTTAAGTCTTACGCTTACACTGGATTTAATAATTGATTTATTTTCTATTGTCACTATTATGTATAGTGTATAGATCTAAATGGTGAACTCTACACTGGTACCTGAGACAACACACTTTTGTCTTCGACATATTACTCGTCACTAATTAATTTTTACTAATGACTAATGACTAAAAAATGACTAATGACTAATGATTAGTAGTGAGTGACAGTCACTTAGGTACTTGGATAAAATTTTCAAATTGAATTAATTAAAAAATGAACACACGTGTAAGATAGCTCTTGTTAAATGAAGTAATAATATGTTTTCATTTTTCATGTAGCACTTTTGGTTAAAAAGTTATGATTTTTTTCGTGAATAAAAACTCACTTTTTTTAACATAGAGATTTGTGACCTCTTTTCCAAAAATTTTCACGAAAAGGCTGATAACTTTATAGCAGAGTAAACAAATATTATGAAACTTTCCAGAAGTGTTCATCATCATATTAGCAACATTTTTGCTGATTTAAAAACTAAAAAAATTAAATATAATATTTTAAAAATATTTTTAATGTCATTATAAAAACTTCCACAAAAAAAAATTAAAAAATTATTTAAAAAAAATTAAGACCAAACGTAATTTATTTTTAAAAAGGAAATATAATAGAGGCAATATTACAATAAAAATTATGATTTAACTTGAAATGGAGCAGTATCTGATAAAATATTACTTAATATGTCTATTATTGTATAGATATTGAAATAAAACCTAATATTAATTAAGATGGAACTTGATTGCTTAAGGCATAAAAAATGTCTTGGGCTTTCTTATCTGTCAACTATAGTTAAATAATACTGTTTCCGGTTTGTCACTTTCGTTTTCGGCCATTTTTTTTTTTTTTTAAATTTTTAGACCCGTTCTGGCCAAAAATAACATTGTTATGGCCATCTTAGAGACTTGAAATTTTACATGGTGATATTTTATACAATTTCACAGGTACACCAGGTCGATTTAAAATGGGACAACGAATAGTTTTCAAAATATTGATAAATTAGACTTAGCTGCTTTCTCACATTTTTTTTTATTTACGACATACTGATATTACTGAAAACAAAATGGATGTCGTTAAAGCCCGTTCATTAACGTAACTAGAACAGTAATTCGTTCGTTGATCCGACGTTTCTAGCGCGAAAAAATAATTTTTTAGTGAACCCTATCATCCAGCACACCAAAAAAAGCGTCTCAAAACCCTATGGGCCGCGATTACGTCAAAATAGCCTCATATCCAAGTACCGACACTAATGTATAATTTTTTAGATTTAGGAATTCAGTGTAATGTAGTAATGAGTAATGTCACAATCACAACAATGTGTAATGTTAAACTTAGTACTACTAGTTTAACTAGTACATTGACATTGAATGCACATTGAACATTGTTACCTACTGTTTGCTCTAGTCTACTGTCACTACTGTCGTCTGTAGTAAAATAGGTGAGGGAAATATTAAATAATAATTAATAATAGAAGTGTCAAACAGTAGTCATATTATTATTATTATTATTAGTACTAGTACTAGTGATACTGTTAGTCTGTGTTGTAATAGTGTTGTATAGATAGTTTATTAGTAGATAGTGATAGTATTGATGTATTGACTATTTTTAGTGTTAGACAATATCATTAATACCAATCTTAATCTTATTAGTTATTAGAATTAGATTAAAAAACTATTTTAAATATTATTTTTGGGTTTGTAAGACAAAATAAGTAGGTATCAAGTGAAAGATAATTGAATGGACTATATACTATATTATTTGTAAACTTACTTCTTCAGTTTAACTAAAATAAACTACCACAAATGACATCCGAATGGGATTTAGTCTAAAGGGACCCGGGTACACATAGTACATAACATTGTATTTATAATATGATTTTAATTGTAATAGTTATCAACTTAGCGTTTATGATCATGTCATTGCTAGCCAAATGCACAAATAAATAATAATATTACGCCACTTTGGGAAATGGTGTCGGTGGGTCGTGGACCCCGGCATACCTCCACACAGGCCAGAACCCGGGTTTCCCCATCACCAGGCCGCACAGAGGCATGCCAGGAACCTCCCCCTTAGCCTGGGGGACATTGGGTCGATAAAAAACACTGCATTTAAAGCGTTCGCGGTCCACTTTCCCTTGGAGGATTCCACTCTGGAGGGAAGGTGTTGCGTTCCCAACCCCCACCACCGAGGGAGTCTTTTGGTCGGGGAAAGCTGGGACAAAATGGTCACCTAGGAGCGGCTTTCTCACGGCCCATCGTCATGGGTTTTAGCCACCACCCAAACCTCATATCCATTAACGGCAACAAGTAATCATGTTACAATGTTACTACTCCCGTTGCGTTGGGAGTCATGCGGTCGGCTGGGGTTTTTTAGCTTAGGAAGAACAGTACCTACTAGTCCATCACACCATGAAGAGGCAAAACCCCATGTGAACGTCCCCAAGTTTCCTCGGAGACGCTCCGCTTGCGCAGACGGAATAATAATATTACAACCGGCACTACTAACCTGTACCAGAGGCTAATATCATGTTTTGGACTTAAGCCAGTGGTCTGAGCCTTCCCGTTCTTTTGTAATGATATACGTCTCAAGGCCTTAAGATGTTTTCAGTTTCATCCACTGAAATATGAAATGTTAAAGTTAAAACTCACAAGTTTACAAGATTTCAACTGCCTCCCATTTGCCAAATAAATATGCATAATACTAGTTAGTAAAACTCAGTAAGGTTAATTTTTAGAATCGGAAATTTACTATAGGGGGTCAAACATTAGGTAACTAATTTTTTAAACTAGCTTTTTAACTTAGAAAAAGAATAATATTTAACATAAAATCACTTTCTTATGCATCATACCATAAAACTTTATTTATAAAATGGATTAGCTATCTAATTTCTTTTTTTATAAATGACTATTTAACATTCAGATTCAATGATGCTCTGAATAAAATTAAAAAAGTAATCAATGGTTTGGTTGTTGTTGGCAGTTTTATAATAAATAACATGTTCACCTACCTACGACTACATAATAAAAAATATGCTATTAATAATTAATTCCTCAATATAATTAACCTACTTGATACCACTGCACATGATTATTATTAACCTTAATTTATAATTTCTCATTAAACTTTATTAAATTTTTTTTTTTTTTAAATTTTAATTAGGCTTAGTGCTCATCAACTTAGGCTTTTTATGTTTTCTCTTATATACTTTTAGGCTATAGACTATTTAACTATAACTAGAGCTGCCCAGATTGTATGGCTATTCTTAGTTGAAATAATATCGTGCCATAACTATATTTATTTACTATTTTCATTTTTAATTAATTTTTTTTTCAGGTAAATCTTCACATAATAATGTGTAAAAAAACAACTTTTTTTATCAAGCTACTTGACTTTTAAAGAATTTTCATGCCGTCTCCTCCTGGTCATGAGTCAAATAATGGAGAAAACTTTGGCGTCCTTGCCCAAGTTGCTTACACAAACTTTAACTGGTGGAAAAGTTCAAAAGCATTCGGTTCGGCAGCTTCCTAATCAAGAAGTTCAAATTTTTATGAACTTTGTCCATAGAGCTCGGTCAAAAACACATGAAGCAGCTATAGTCCATTCAGAGTTGTCCTCCCTACAGCAAAAACTCAAGCAAACTGAATTGTCCACTTCACCAGTTCTAGTCAGAAATTCTTTTACAAAGGCCATTTTTTGCCATCTACTTGGATACGATGTTACTTTCGTTGCAATCTATGCTGTCAACCTTGCCCAACAAGGTAAAGGTTATGACAAGCGGTTAGGTTATCTTCTATGCTGCCTCCTGTTGCATCCTCACCATGAAATGGTGATGCTTATGATGGCAACTCTCCTAAGAGACTTGAAGAGCTCTAACATGGCTGACAACTGTTTAGCTCTCCTTGTAGCTGGTCAGCTTGTTGGTGAAGAAAACATTCCCAGCATTTTACCTGAAGTTCTTAAAAAGCTCAAACACCCTCATGATCTAGTAAGGGAGAAAGCTCTGCATTGCATAAGAACGTTTTATCAAGGTGCACCAGCCCTCCTCCGGGCTTCGTTTACTCAGCTGACCTTATTTTTGGAATCCAGAGACCCCGGTGTCCTGTCAGCTGTGGTGAATATTTTTTTAATTCTGATCAGTGAAAATCCATCAAAGTATGTTTCCCTTAGTGGAAGCTTTCTGCATATTCTTCAACAAATTAATGAGCGAGGATTCGGCTCAAGTTATTATTACCATATGGTGCCGTTACCATGGCTGCAGATCAACATTCTAAAGATTTTAGGATATTTGGGCTCTGCAGAGCCTAAGCTTCAAGAACCAATTTCTGCCAAACTTCAGTTGCTGATTGAAAAGACCAAAGTGACAGAGCCTATTTCTCTAGCCATTCTTGTTGAAAGTGTGCTCACAGCTACCAAAATTACTGCCAACGATCAGCTGCTTAGCCTGTGTTCGAGATGTGTGGGTAAACTTCTGTCTCCTGATGCAAGTAATGGAATGAGATATCAAGGATTAGGGCTTCTCATATCTCTTTCAAAAGTCAAATCATCTTTCGCGGCTCAGCATCAGATCGCTGTTGTTGAGTGTTTAGCTGATGAGGATCCTGCCATACAACTTAGGACTACGTATTTGCTTCATGCAATGGCTAATAAAGCCAATGTAAAAGCAATTTGTGGAAAATTGTTTGAGCAGATCCAGAAGACCAAAGACACAGTTTTTATTCTTGATATTCTTCAGATGATCAGTGATTTAGCTGAGAGATTATCCCAAGGAATTGATTGGTATTTTGGTACATACTTTAGTATTTTGGAGGTAGAATTAAGCAGGGAAAAGCAGGACATGTTTTTTGAGTCTGTTTTATCAAAACTGGAACATGTTTTTAAGACGGATGACAACATTCCTGAACAAGTTTTAAATAATTTTGTATCTACTTTACTCCAGGCGCTCAGTGATCCCAATCCCCTCAGACCTTCTCTCTTGTTGTCCATACAATTGGTGGGAGTGCTCGCTCCAAAACTTGGTACTATTTTACCCATTGGTCAGTTTTTATCAACTATTGAAAATCTTCTGTTGCGGCAAGAAACTGACAACTTGTTACCTAAGCAAAATGTTATACCCAGGCCACTAGTTAGGAATGTTGAAGGAAGCCAGAGCTCTCACCAGTTTGAGCTGAGTAGAGTGCAGTCATGTTGTCTAGAGACTACGATCAAACTTATTCTTGGTGGTGGCTTGGCAATGTCGACTGCTAAAGAATGGTTGCAGAAACATGATTATCAAAAGCTTATCAAAGACACAAGTGTCCTCAGCTGTTTAGAGGGCCTTCAGGACTTGCTGGATCACCCTGAGAATTTGGCTTTGAGGTCACAGATCATGTTTGATCCAGAAAATGGTGAAATAGATACATCTCTGTCATTCCTTGACAGTTTAATAGTGCAGGATTTACTCAAAGGACAAGAAGCTCTCAAGCCACCATACCTAAAGTTAATCAGTGAGACAACCCCTGTGATCTACACGAACCCCAAAATCAACACCCATGACAATTTGGCCATGTCAGAGAATGATGAAAAAACCATGTCGGCTTCTGTTTCTTCTAAAGCACCCAAGTCTGTAATGAATAATAAATGGAAGGATGATGATCAAGAAGAGTTTGTAGTTTTAAACCCTGAAGAAGGTACCCACCAAGACAAGGAGAGAAAGAAAAAAGAGGCCATTGCTCGGGAACTTTTTGTTGGGCTGAGTGATCAAGAAGCTGAGGGTGCAATAAATAAAAATTCAAATCACATCAAAACAAAACACAGAAGCTTTTGGGATGATGATGGCGATGAATCTACTAGTGTTGTAGGGCTACGACTCCATCCCTTTGGTGTGCCTAAGAAAGCAAAAGCTTCTCAGCTTTCACAATGGCAGGATGAAGATATAGAAAATGACAATGTAACATTTAATGCAGATAACATCCTCGAGTCCAGCTTTATTTCTAGTCAGTCTGAGAAAGTAGAAAGTCCATCCGGTATCACCAGTCCAGTTTATGATCAATTTAGTCTTTACTCCATGACTAATTTGGCAAATGATTTTGAAAACAATCTCTCCGATTCACCCCAAATGAAAACTAAAACAAGCAAAAGCCAACAAGATATTCATCAACCTCAAGTTACTAGTAGTATTTATTTAGAATATTTAGCAGAATCGTCAACAGCTAGTTCTGAACATATGTCAATGTCCACTATTGATACCTTAACCGATAGTGAACCTGAGGAAATAGATATTCATTAATGTTGGGCCTGTTGTAATATTATATATTCACTTTCTTCATTATGAATTATATAGATATATATACATAGTGCTCCTTCTGTATAAATAAATATATATGTATATAGTGTGTTCTCTTGGTATGAATGAATATTACAAGGAGATCTAGTACCACCAGGGGTAACCTAGTTAACTGTCATTTGCCTCTAGTGCTATTACAACTGTCATTTTTGAAGTTTTACTACTTAACTCCAAACCAACCCACCTGCCTTCATCATCTCTCCAATTCACAGACCCTACCCTCATCCTCTCATCCTCTACATTCCCCACTTTTCATGGGTCCTCTCCCACCCCCCCACTAGTCCTACCCCTGACCCAATCTACTCTTATCACTCCCTTCTCAACACATCTACCTCACAACAACCACAACCTCGTCCCTACCCTCCTCCTCTCCTCCCCCACATTCCCCCCTTTTCATGGGTCCTCCCCCCCCCCCCCCACTAGTCCTACCCCTGACCCAATCTACTCTTATCACTCCCTTCTCAACACATCTACCTCACAACAACCACAACCTCGGCCCCACCTTTCCCCAATACCCCTGCACCATTCTCAACTGCTAGAAACCTTACCCTACTCAACCATATCCCGTCCCATGTCTTCTTTACCCACCTCCCACTTAACATCATTCTTTCCATCTTACCCTTTACACTAACTCTAACGGTACTTAAATATTAAGAAATAAAACTATTTGGGAAAATCCAAGAAATTGTGAACATCGGAACAAAAAACAAAAAATCCTCTTTTTTTGGGGGGTCCAATTTTTGAGAAAAACGTGCATTAAATAGCTATGCCAAATTAATTATTTTAAATACACAGTGAGAGAAGAAAAAAATATTACTGTTAGTTGAGAATGAAAAGAAATTCTTAATTTAGCTGTAACAAATTATTATTTTACATCATATTCTGCATAGGCTATGTATCTTGTAGACATTTTCTGAATGCATAATTTTAGTATGTAAAATACTTATTCATAACATTCAGAACTTAATGAAGCAATTAGCAGTAGCAAATGGTAGTATTAAGCTTTCATGAATGTCTAAAAGTTTAAAGTTAAAAAATACTTAGCCTATTTGGAATATGATGAACTGGCAGAAAGCAATATTCTTTGCATTAATTTGAAATAATTTTAATTACACACTTTCTATGTTACTTTGCGATCCAAAGTAGATCACCTATTTAAAGTTTATTTAACATGCTAAATGTGCAGTACCGTATATAGAATTGTTCTTAGGTGCAGACATACTGATAATTATATTATATATACCCAATCAGTGGTACTACCCCTCCATATAAACACCATATTATTTTGATAATATAAAAACATAACACTCATTACGGTAAGCTGGAAAGAGAAAAGAAGTTATTTTTGTAGACTCGTATGTTACAAATAAGTTATTTTTATATGCAGTAAAGTTAGTTTTATTCTGAGACTAGGCACACTGCCCATTTCAACCCAATTTTGTTTCCCAATTTCTTTGTTCAAGAAGAGTGAGGCAATTTTTCAGTGACTTAGGGCAATTTAGGCTATCCATGTTAATGCAAGTTTAAGAAAATTAAAATTTTTTTTACATGTCTGAGTTCAGAAATATATTTTTTTTGTAGTCATCTATTCTCCGTTTGAATTGATAACCGACCTTTTTTAATTGAAACTTGTTTTTAGCTTAATTTCTTTCTCCACCGTGTGATTCCATTTTATTTGTCATCTTGATGACAGGAACTCTCATAAGCACAGCCATGACATCAGAATCAAGGCTAATAAAAATGTTAGTAATGTTCCCATATCACGTTCTCCTTAAAATTAACATTAATAAATCAACTAAGTTTCATCAAACTGATGGTGTCAAGAATTGTTCCAGGGGAATTTTGATTTCCTTTGCCTGCCCTCATTCAAATGGTGTCAAACAAGCGTGTTAGGAGGATGAGGGGGAAGTACCAACATTTGTAATGCAAGTGATGCCATATTTATTCTGATGAAGAGTCTGCAGCTAACCAAATGTATTTAGTGTGTCTTCGCTCAGCACGTACAGATACCAAGACTTAAAATAATTTGTAAATGTGACTTTTAGTTTTAAAAATATTGTTGACATTATTTATATAAATCATTAGTAAAAATTAATTATATTTAAATGTATACATTTATTATTAAAACTATTAATATAAAACTATAAACGCTAATAATATTTCATTTACTGGATTACCTTTTCATATGTACTGAATTATCCGTACTTTCCAAATACTGTAGAAATGTTCAATTCTTGGTTTGAGATGCAATTTCTCCAACCCCTAAGTAATTTACTTTGACTTCTATTTTAGTATGAAAGGCTGTTTAATTTTGGAGATAAATTATTATTTGTGTGTTTATTCCATGTTTGGCTTTAAATAATTATATTTGGCTGTAGCAGTTTTCATTTAAAAATATATTACAGTTTTCATCAAATGATCTGTTAAAAATAACATAAAACATTTAATATTTGTATTTTTATTTTACTTATCAGTAGTGCAAGCTCTACTATCAAACACAGCTTAAATAGACTTATCAAGAAAGCAAGTAATATCGCTAAAACTTAAAACAAAACTACCTTTGAAAGAAGAACTATTTGAAGCAATATGCATTTGTAAAACTTTAAAAAAATTAAGGGGGGGGGGGGATAAATCCCACCCTGTTCATAACAGATAAAGATAAGCTGAATCAGGGAAAATTGCTTCCCTCAAAATTAGGACTGAAAGATCTATAAAAAAAAAAAAAAAATTATTTGTTCCCCAATCTATCACAATTTACCAGCGTTCTCCCACGGCCATTAACAAAATCTAAATAATCTCTCTTGAAGTCAATATTGTCACTAACTGAGCAAAATTCCATGGCATATGAGGGCAGATATTTGTGCCTGAGATATACTTAATATGTCTGTGCTAAATTGTTCTAGTTTAATCAAAGTTTTGTCTATTTAAGAATATTTATGTATGTGCTGAAAATGAACTTGTAAATTGGTATTGATAATAAAAACTCATTTCCATTTACTTGGATCAAATAAAAAAATCTTATAAGCCTTTTTTTTAAATTTTTTTTTTTTAAGTGTCAAAAGTAATTTGTAATAAAATTATGTATCACTAAATATGAAAACCTTGTTTATGTCCGTTTTATTAAATTATAAATACTATACAATTAAACAAGTGCAATGCGTTATTTAAATATTTTCATTTACTTACTTATTAATAACCTATAATCTAATTTCATTGAATGTCTGTGAAGCTGAGCTACTTATGATTGAAATGCAATTATTACTTCATTTCATATATAAACTTTAGTAATGATAATGTATCAAGTTTTCATTTAAACCAGATGGGGTCGAGATATTAATGAAAAGGTTGAAAATTTATCTACAAAACACATTTTACAAAACAAAATTAAATTCACACAGTCACAATCATTGGATCACAATCTTTGTTGCAGAGCCAGGAGCTAAGAGAAATAGAGAGTACCTTGGATTGAAATCATGCTTACAATTAAATTTTAAAACCCTGCTTTTTATAACTTTCTGGAGGCTTGTAGTTCACATTTTAAGCTTTTGCAAACTCCTGCAACACTTCCAAGAGAGTTGGTTAAAAGTTAAATTTAGAGTCCTTTAAGAATGAGTGCCCTTTTAAAGTTAAATAAATTATATAATTATGTTAACATTTTCTTTTTGAATGAACTATAAACGATGTATCTAACCTTTGCATTTCATTTGAGGGTAGTGCCTTGGCCTATATAGTAGCAAAAAATGATGAGATAGGTCTTTATTAGCTGCTGTTGTAACTTACGCAAAAAAAATTTATTTGACTTTATGACTTGATAAACCCAATTTGATCTATTTCAATCACTTTCTCTGGTTACCGGTTCTTCTTTATTTTAGTGTTTTTTTATGTGAAACACCACTATTTATAACTCTTATAGGTTTTCCTATAACTATCAGTTTCCAGGAGAGAAGAGCAGTATTTTATCATTTTTACCTTACAGCCTAGGATTATTTATGTAAAATTTCTATGTCTGGTACTTTCTCCATAATTATGTAACCTTAATTTAATCTGCTTCTTCTAAGCATTTATCTATTTTCCTCAATAAAACTTTACTTTCTAAAATGTAAGTGGATTTTTTGTATTCTTTGGGTCCATTGTAACATTTAAAAATAATTAATAGAAACCTCTCAATATATTGCAATTTAAAAGTTAAAAAACAAAGAAGTTTAGTTTTATGTTTCAAAATTTTAAAATTTATTATTAAAAATGGCACATGCAGTTTTGTTGATTGACAGTTAAATGTCAGCTTGACACCTGAACCTTCACTGTTCCTTGAATAACCACAAAATACAAATTTATTAATTATTATCACTTTATTAGATAAAAAAATAAATAACAACTGAAAAAGTATTAACTATTAATGCATCATTATGAATGCAGAGTTAAGAAAAATATTTACAAAGTGGAAAGTAATTGTAAAATATAAGAGAATATTTAACTCTTCTGTTAAAAAGTATAGTGAATATACCTTGAACCAATAATTTAAAATATAGAGTTATGTTTTTACCCCCTTTAATTTCCTTGTCTTCTTTTTTAAATTTTTTTTATTTTAAACATGAGTCATTGAACTATTTTAAAAAGCATTTACCCCATAGTAGGACATGGTTATTGGTCTTCTACTTCTATGATAATAATCAACAGGCTTCAAAATGATTACAAATTACCATAACCAATTTATCTTTTATTTAAAAGAAAAGGAAACTACGTTCGCTTAAAATGTAATAAAAGATTTTTTACCTTGTGCTTTTTGTTACCATTAACACATTCTTCCCATGCATTCACTTAAACAGCTTACAAATGTACATGTCTGGTAAAATATTTACATTTTAAGACATTTGCAATTCTTGCAAAACAAAAAGTCTGTATGCTAGAAGTCAATCTCTCAAAATTATGATCTAATGTTAAAAATAAGATACAATTGTTCATTTTATGTTAGGAGTGCTTTGCTAAAATAATATCTATCTATAAGAAGCCACATCATTTAATTGAACTCATGAACCAATCCATAGTGTTTCCATCCTGTCTATAAAACACAGAATGTTATCCACATTTTCTAAACCAGTTACAGAACTGTAATTTTTCTGCATTGTGATAAAATTAAAAGTTATGCATCTCCTAGCTTATTTACATCAGAAATATAATTCAAAAACTAATAATAGGGCCATAACTCTGCATCTCAGCTGTTTGCACAAAAATCAAGTACTGCTCTTCAGCTTCTTCTCACACTTAGGTTATGCTTGGATGCTATATAGGTTTACCAGTCAGTCACTCATCAGTTGCCTGTAGCAGATGTGTCTTCTTTATGATGTGGGTGTTGGTGGCAAGGTACTATTTACTACAATTATTCAGATTCATTCAAAAAAACTTCCTGATAAAAGAAAAAGTCTCACCTTAAATTACACTTCTCAAGAAGTTATTTTTAAAATTTGGCGATCCTTTATAACTCTCTCATTTTTTAAATTGCTTTATGAGATATGTCTATAGAAAAAGCCTAAAACTATGTAATGCTCTTGATGACATGGAGTTTATTTTTAATGCAGCATCAGGAGACCATTTTGCTGGCCACCTTTACTCTACCAAAGAAAAGAAAAAGAATCAATAATAAACAACAAAATATTTGCTTGTGGAGAAGAAGAAAAATAAAAATTGTTTCAAATATATTTTTAAATTAGTATGGTTTTACTTTTATTGAAAAATTTCACAATTATGAGATAGTGACTTCATATTTACCTTTAGATCCTATAAATTAATACATTTTTAGTTATAAAACAGAAATACTAAAAGATAATCTGAACATTTGAAACAACATTTTTTTAATAATATAACTTAAAATACCCATGCAAAGCTACAAAAAATGTCCTTTTTTTCACATTGTTTTTAAACTATAAAAAAAACTCCCAAAATCCCAGTAAAATTTCTCAAAAAAACTTGAGACATAGGCATATTAAAAATAAATGTTTATAAAACCAGACACAATAATATTAAATTAAACATTGCCTAGGTCATGAAAAATAGTTCTTAAACGTTAAGGAAAAATGTAACACTTCAAATTGGGTAAATAGAGAATTACCAGAAGATAACATGGTAATTTTCAAATATAAATATTGCAAGCTGAATTTCATAATCACAATTATATAAAAGAGAAAAAAATGAGCTGTTGTGTCTCAAAGAAGTTATTTAATAAGTATGTAGAAATGGTTGTTTTCAGAGTCTCTTCTTATTTACCTTCCACCTGAGTAATTTGAGAGGTTGAACTGACTAGAGCGCATTGTGTGAGGATATCAGTTAATCTATGCAAGGATTGGTGGAAACATCTAGCACTGAGTAAATTAACTAATATTTAAGACACAATGACGGGTTGTGTAATAAATTTCACAACCTGTTAGGGGTTGGGTCAAAGTTGGTGGGGAGAGATGTAGCTTGAGAATGCTTTTATTTAATTATAGCTGTTATCCATGGAATTAAAGTCAATTTAGATATTCGATAACATCCATATGTAAGCAAGCCTAGAGTACCCAGTCGAAAGCCCCATTTGGCCAAAACTGACACCACAGTAGCTGTTGGTAACCTGAAAAGATAGTGGTTATGCAAAAGAGTTGATAAATTTAAAAAAACTATGCAACTCTGGGAATTCAGTGCTGCTGAAAACATAATTACAAACATTTCACACTTTTCAGTTTTTTTCATTACTAAATTGAGTGTTACGAAATGTATATTTTTCAGACTTAAAAAATTTAATTATTTAATTGACATTGAAAAAGTTGAAACTACAGAGGGAATAATAGACTAAGAAAATTAACCTAAAGGAATTAGCAATGGATTGCAACTCTACTGTATTGTTCCAACGTTATTTCTTCTTCTTCTATATTTTGAGCGCCCACGATCAATGTATTGATCATTCTGGCTCCTATAATTATCTTTAAAAATTAAATAACTATATTTCAAATAATTTTATTTAGCAATTTGTGAGGGTGCGGTTAAAAATTATTCTGCTTATTATTCCACAGATTACAAGAAGTAATGAAAGCTTTAGTATGTTTTGATAATATAGTCGACTGTCTTACTTGCAAATCTCATCAATGTTCAATTCCTTGTCCCAGTTGTCTTTAATACCTTGTACATGGCCAATACCAACAACACCGACCACAACACAAGGAACTTTACCTGAAATAGTTGGGGGCATGCCTAGTTAAATAATTATGTAACAAATTTAAGATATGTAACTATATATTTTGTAAGCAAAACAAATTCTTGATTATTCTTGATTATTAACTCCCCCCCAATTGAATTCCATAGGCTATCTGACAACACACCCCCCCCCCCCAGTAAATATAGATCTTTCAAACACTTCTAACAACATTTTTTCACTAGAGATCAGTGTTATTTGTATTAACAATTGTTTTCTTCATTTTTGGAAAACTACTTAATCTTTTCAGTGTCAAAGTTAGAATAATTACCTCCTTTTTAACACTAAGAGGAAATTAATCTTATTATATTGAATATAAAATACAACAGTTATGTTCAAGAGGTTTATATTTTAAATAAAAAGACATTTAACATATTTATTTTTAATTCTTACCATCTGGTGCATCAGGACAAATAATGGGTTGTGCAATTTTCCGTAGTGAGTGCGCAAGATAAATGTCTCGTTCTTTCACAAAGACTCTACCAAGGGCTGGAAATTCTCCAGTCATTTCTTCTATCATTTGTTCAAGCAAATCTTTTTGTTTACACTTTTCAACATCTTCCTTCCTGCAATATGCAATTGCTGATATTCATGATTTTTGCTTTGATGAAATTATCTTTACAGTAAAAATCAGGTTGAACAAATAATACAATTTGTCAAATTGATGTCCATAGTTGATTGCTTTATATGCCATAAAATTTAACCTAATAATTAAAAACATTAAACCATGTTTTTAATTTTGTCACTGAGGATAATAAAGACTTTTTAAAAAAAGCTTTAAGATAAAAAGATGGTTCATTTTAAAAAGTGGGAGATAGGCTGCAAAGCTAACGTACGTTATGGGTTCCTTGGAAAACAGGATTGCATAAGCTAATTTTAATCTCTGCCATATACTTAGTGATGCTAGTGCTCTTCTCAATGTGATCTGAATCGGTCGGTCACCCAAAATGAATTTGCAGCCACCTTCCAGCTTTTGTGCCTTTTGAGTAGGAGAGAGCATGAAAATGTTTATGGGTGTTCAAAATAAATAAATAAATTTTGTTCATGACCTCAAAAAAAGCGCAGATATTTCTAACTGCATACGTTAATTTTATTTGTTTTTTATGATTATCGATTGGTGTAATTAAAGCCAACAGAGTTAATGATAAAATCTCTCTAGTGCAAGAGGAAATAATAGCTGTTTAAAAAGTAGCTTTGTTTATCCATGAAAATGGTCTGAATTTAACTGTTTTGTTATTCAATAGACATTATAATCACAGTTATAGTTATTAATTTTAGTAACAATAATTTTTTTCTGCCGTAAAGGCACCCAAAAAAAAATCATACATTTTAAAAACCGGTCACCTAACCTCATTAAATGCCACTCGAAACTCTCCACCTGGAGCCATGCCAAGCTCCTTGGTGATGTAGGCTGACATATTTAATAGCAGGATATTAAGGATGCCTTGCATTAGTCCATTCTAGAATTAAAGAAAAAAAAGATATAGAGAAAACTAAAAATAACACAGAAGAGTTTCATCACATGATGCATCAACATCTCAGATTATGAGCTGAATTACCAATTAATTATTTTTAACAATTAGCAAGCTGTTACATGCAATTTTATCTATAATTATGCAGCATTGCATCGAGAGGTATTCTTAACCCACAAAGAAACAAATTTATTTGTGCTGTGGCTTCAAAGCTGTTCTAATCATTTTGATTATATCCAACTAAAATGCCTGATTTGTGTGGAATATTCATTCAGCTGTCCATATAAACATATATTTTCTAATAGCATATTGTACCCGGTACAAGACATATAAAAGTGAACTTGACCTTTTTAAACAACACATACTGAGTGAAATTTTGCAATAAATGCTGAGTAAAATTGGGCAATAAACAATTTTTGCACTATGCACTGAGTAAAATTGTGCAATAAACACTGAGTAAAATTGTGCAATAAACACAGAGTGAAATTGTGCAACAAACGCTGAGTGAAAATGTCCAACACTTCTTTTACTTGAAACTCAAACCCAGACTGACTCGTCCTATTTATTATCTTTATGTTTACAGTCTTGGTGACCTAAAATTTCCTTATGTTCACAAGCAAAAATTAGACAATTCGTGCGTTACTTTTTTAATTTTTTTAAAAAATAATTTCTTTTTACTCATCTTTTTTTTTTCAATGATTTGTTCAAAACCATAATTAAATTGAATAAACTTTCATTATTATCTTGTGATATCCCCATTTCAATCTGTGATCAGTCTTGAGCATGAGGATTGGCTCACAGTGATCAAGACACTAAAATTTGCGTGCTGACTTTGTATAGTTTACAATTTGTATCCTCTAACCCTGGACCATGTCACTGCAAACAAAGCAGTCACCTTCTTTTCATGGAAAGTGGACAGTCAATTATGGTACCGCTATTGAGATAAGCCTTTAGTCATAAACTGTTTTAATGGTACTGTCACTGTCAAGTAAAGGAAATGTTGAGCATATTGGTCTGTTACTTGTATTTATTAGATCAGGTTTATATTATTATAAAGGATCTTTCCAGTTTATTATATTTTCTTTACTCTGACTAAGAAGAGGATGTCACAAAATTGAATTTATATCATTATAAAGATAATAGATTAGGAGAACTCACCTCAGGTAACAGACTAGGATAATCAACATTTAGATGAGATTACTAGAAGAACTTACCTGAGATAATAGGCTAGGATAGACAACATTTAGATAAAATGACAAAAAGGAATCACCTTTTTGATGACATGCTGAATAGTACTCATGTTAATATTTTTAGCCTCCTCTAGAATCTTCTCTTCATCCATTTTGAGTATGTTGACTCTGCTCTGACACAACTCCACCATGATGACATGAGGTTTAGTTGACCGTATAACCTTTTGTTCAAGTAAAATCAAGTTACCAAAACTAAATATTAGACATATACAATATAATATTCCATATCTATTCAAGTGGATTCAGGTTTCAGTGAAAGTATTTGATTTTAAAATTCAATATATAACACTCAAATAAGTTAGGGAGAAAATGCTATTTCTTACTTGTACATGACATTCAATATAATGTACATGATAGATCATCAAAAATAATGTAGATTATTGCTTTGCACTAATTGAATAAAATAATTCTAAATGGCCCACATTAAGCATCTGCACACTAGGAAAACTGTTCAAACTATGAAATAGAAAGAACTGTTAAGATATTATTTATTATTATTAACAGATTTACGTATCTCAAATAACTACACTCATAATACAGGCTAAAATTTCAAGAAATATATTAAAGCTATATACACATGTAAATAAATCATTTCTTAAAGGAAAAAGACTGCTATCTTGTATCTAACCAAAACAAAAACACCAATATCATCATGTCTAATCAGGATATTTTAAGCACCACATGATTATTAATATATAAATTAGCTCTTATCAGACTTATGAAAATATGTATAAATCAAAAGGGCTAATGTGAAGAGATAGCACCCTGATTCCGATAGGGTCAAAACCCAGGTTATGGATAAATTTAGGGTTCAGGTTAGGTTTAGGGATACATTTAGGACATAAGTTCGCTGGTCGCAGCAACCAAAGTAAAAAAAACATGGTGCTATCTCTTCACATTTACCAACAAAAGAACCAAAAAAATATAAGACAAACAATAATTTATCAGTTACCTTTGAAACATCATCCTGACTTTCCTTACTGAAATGTGCAGTACCAACAATGTAAACAAGGCATCCATCTTTCTCAAGGAGGGTAACTGTCTGAGGCAAGTCTGAAATCGGAACTGGAACTCGTGACAAAGATGAAGGATCTGGTTCTGTTTCATCATCTGTGTAGTTTTCATCTTCATCCTCATCATCACTTAGCCAAATATCATCTGCAAAGTGGTTTTAAAAAAATAGAAACATTTCCAAAGAATGTACAATAACTGATGTTATCTTAGTAACTAATGTTTTATTTCATCCCAGCCATTTTCAACATATGATAATCTATCAAAAGGAAAAATTGAATTTACAAATCTTTTAATTGTATCATTATAAATATCTAACCTCCCTTAATATAGACAGAATAAACAAGGAGTTTTACTTTACCAGCAGTATTCAACCATAAAACAATACAATTGTCAGAATTTCTGAGCCTCTATCATTCTTCCTAAATTAAATATTGTACACTAATATCAATTAATTTTATATAGTTAATTAAATTATTCAGGAGTCAGTAGGATTGTAAGAAGATAAGAATTAAGATAGTGGTAGTTCAGAGCAAAAACAACCAAAGTCAGCCATATAAATATACTGGTATTGATGCAGATGATGTCCATACCCCACAACCTTCAACCCATTGCATTTTGTATGGTTTAGGATATATTATATATGATAAAAGCTATTAAATGATAAAATGGTGTAATTTTGTTGTCTCTAAATTGTTATTATGAATGTAACACATAGTTTGAATACAATTTTAAAATCAACTATATAATTTTAATATGTATCGGTTTTTTTTTAAACATATCAATTATTTTAAAGATGACATTTAATATTTGAACGTCTTTATTATCTATAGCACATGAAACATTAAATGTATCTTATTTATGTGAGATCAAATTATCTATGCACTGTTATTAGCTCTTTACCCACTAATGTTGAACATTATTTACCTTCATTATCCATACCACTTTCATCTGTTTTGCCATAGAGTGAGGCACCAATATTTTTGCTATGTCCCTTGGCATCACTGTCAACTTCAGATGTGTTGTCTACAGATGTTGTAACTGCTACATTACTATTGTCATCATCTTCTTTGTTATAAAGTGAGGCTCCACCAACATTGTTATTCTCTGCATTATCCACAACAATGTGCCCTGTGTTGTTATTAGTGGTCAGATCTGAATCATCTGTAGCAAGCTCTTGTGACATTGCTCAAACATACAGATCAGGTAATCTACATACATAGGTTGAAAGTAAAATTTCTTTAAATTTTATTTTTTTAAAATTCAAAGGCAACTCCATGTGTGTATGTTTTATATTCTACTAAATAAAATAAGTGTAGTAGGGCTATACAGCTTTGTACAGTCCAGAAAATAGATGTACTCTAAAAGTCCAAGCAGTCATTCATAGAGATAATATAAAAGAAAGCTATAGGACTAGGTCAAGAACTACACAATCAGATACATAAACTTATAACTAAAATTTGACAAGAAGAGAGAATCCCGACAGAGTGGGAAACAGCATTAATAACCCCAATACACCAGAAAGACTTCAAACTTCAGTGCACAAACTAACAGAGAAATCTCCCTATTAAATGTTGCATACAAAATACTGACAAAGCTTATTGCCAAAAGACTACAACCTTACACTGAAGAAATACTAGGTGATTACCAAAGTGGATTCAGGCCTAACAGATCAACGACTGATCAGATTTTCACCATCAGATGCCTATTAGAGAAATGCTATGAATAGATACCAGTACATCAACTCTATGTTGACTATAAAATGGCCTTTGACAGCATCAAAAGAAACTATCTAAATGAGACTCTGCAGGAGTTTGGGATACCCAACAAACTGACTAGACTACTACATGTAACACTAAACAACTCAAAAAGCAAAATCAAGATTCAAGGAGAATATTCAAGGGAATTTCATATTAGACGAGGCCTAAGACAGGCAGACTCACTGTCTTGTATGCTTTTTAACTTAACATTATAGAGAGTTATTAGAAACATACACATTGACACTTGAGGAACGATAACAGGATACTTTCTGAGGGAAACTCAAGACCCACAACCAACGGGCACACTCTATAACCAACCACTTCAGTATCTTGCATACCGGTATGCTGATGACGTAGCACTTCTAGGAAAAAGTATTAAAGACATATCAAAATCCTTTATTGAATTAGAAGACGCATCTCTACAAGCAGGGCTGGAAGTTAACAACCAAAAAACAAAATACATGACCATGAGAAGAGAAGAACAAACAAGCAATTAAAATTAGAAACCAGACTTTTGAAAAAGTAAATCAATGCAAATACCTAGGATGTTTGTTAAATGAAAGAAATGAATTACTAACAGAAATAAAAGAAAGAATATCAGCAGGAAACAGGGCATACTTCAGTAATCAGAAAATACTCAAAAGTAAAAACATTACAAGAGAAACAAAGAAAACTATTTATAAAACTGTTATTAGATCAGTTTTAACATATGCAAGTGAAACCTGGACCCTAACAAAAACAGCAGAAAACCTATTAAACCTATTAAACACAGGGGAGAGGAAAGTTCTCAGGAAAATATATGGGTCAACAAAGGAAGAATATGGATGGAGAATATGAACCAACTATGAATTATAAAGTCTATATCAGGATCCCACGATAGTAGCAGAAATAAAAAAGAGGCAGAGAGAATAGAGAATGCCAAATGACAGAGGAACGAAGAGGGTGCATCACCAATGCCCCAGATGAAAAAGGCTCAAAGACCTAGGCTTAGGTGGATAGATGATGTGGAAAAAGAAAGATCTACAACAGTTGAAAGTCCAAGCATGAAAAAGAAAGGCATTAGTTAGGTCTGAGTGGAAGGAAGTGGTGAGGCAGGCCAAAGCCCTACATGGGCTGTAGCGCCACAGGATGGATGATAAGACTAGGTGTTTTTTTTTTTATTGTGACATTTTATTTCAGCATTCAATCAGGGCTTATTTTCATTCTTGGGAAAAATGCTACTTTCAAATTTATATACTGATATATAAAAAAGCACATGTTTAAATATATGTGATGGTATGGGCTATTCCACTGTATGGTATGCCCTATTCTGGTATACCGGCACCAATTTTTGGACTGATTTTTTAAAATTGATTCAAATTAGAAATATTAAATAATAAGTTTTTTTTTTAATATTACTATTTAGTAACTACTAAAATTAAAGGATATTAGGCAATCCTCCGAAGTCCGGTCCCAAATTATTTCGTATGAAAAAAATTGCAATGCACAGTGTGTATTGTTAGAAAAAAGCAGAAATGTCAGTCATAGCTTTTGCAACAAACTGTCACTTTACAAACCAGTTAGTAAATACTAAATATTGTAATTGGCGCATAGCATTTGCAAATAGCAGCCGAAAACGTTCTGCTTGTGACTGTTGCGCCACCGAAAGGCTCCCAAGTAGCTGGCAAACAGGCAGTGAGTAGAACCACTCTGATAGCTGAGTTTACATTCCGTTTGCATCCAAAGTCCTTCAATTGTTTCTGTGTGAATGTCCTGGTCTACTGGATCAACAATTTCACGCGCGTGCACAGTGACAGCGTGAGCATAAATCCCGTTGTTCAGCTGAGCGACATTTTGATATCCTTGCCAAGCGTCCTTGACGATAGTTGTCCCTGATAACACATAATTAGTGATAATGCACTCGAGTGTTTGTGCATCTCGACGGCTGACAACCTCCATCCAACATCGTCCAATAACCCAAACATGAATTTCAAAACAGAATGATGCCCAAGACTTTTAAGTAAGGAGTAATCATTGGAAAGAATTTGGGACCGGACTTCGGAGGATTGCCGGATATATATATATATATATATAGAAACACAGCTAGGTAAAGCAAAACTAAATTTCCACTAGTATTAGTTTCTTCCATTATTCTCTTGTTAGTGTAGAATGATGCAAAGCTAAATTCAGATATATTATGTACCAAAATGCATCCCTGCATTTTTAAATAATCAATCCATCCCCACCCCACAGTTCACTCAGTGGGTGTCCTCAATTTCTGCTCCCCCATCAAGACCAGCACATTTTTAGACAATGTCAATATGCACTGTATTTAATTTACTAAAGTAAAGAGCTATATTTCTTTTTTACAAAATGTGTCAATTTTTTGGGGTAGTTGTGCAAATATAAGTCATAAGTATAAGAGAGCATAAATAATTAGAAAAAAAGAAAGAATGCTGGATTCTCTCTCTGACATGTTCAATTTTCTTACGCATTAGGCCAAATCATTCCTTAATATTATTTTATTCTGTCTTTAACTTTAAGTGTAGCCTACCAACTATTCAATCAGCTAAGTAAAAGTGTATTTATTCAATTGAAATTCAATATATATTATCATTATCATTATTCTTACGTTCATAATTCATAAATCATTCCGTAATATTATTTTATTCTGTCTTTATGTGTAGCCTACCAACTATTCAATCAGCTAAGTAAAAGTGGATTTATTCAAATTCAATTGAAATTCAATATATATTATCATTATTCTTAGGTTCATAATTTGGTAGCTTCTCATAATTTAATTAAGCCTGACAAAATTGATGAGATTTAGAAATTGTGAATGGATAATTTATTTTATAAAAATATGAATTTATCATGATGACATTGTTTCTACAAATTGTTATAGGCTATTACTATGCTAGCCAACTGGCAAACTTCATTAAAATTAAAACCTTGCCTTATTTTGCCTTTGTTTCTCATAAATACAAAAATAATGTCAATAGTAATAGTTTGTGGTGTCTGTTCATAATTGAATCAGAACGGCTAAGAAATTGAGACAAGAGAATTGGCTGTGGGCAGTTATATCATAAATTAAATAATACGAACTTTTCACTTTTGGGGCTTTAAAGCAGCTGTTCGCTTTAGACTTGGAAAATATTGATGACACTACTATCAAACAATGATCAAGTTGTCTGCCCATGTTTCCGTTTATTTAGAATAGTCAATTGAGTTGTCAATTTTATGACACTTACTTTTAAAACGTATATGTGTTCTTTAAGTATAGCAATTATTATAACAGGATAAAACACATATTTACTGAGTGATTTTACATTATATTTATAGCTTATTATCAATTAGTAGGCATACATAAGTTTTCAAAATGCAAAACAACTTTAGAAAGGACAAATAGTAATTTACGAATGATAATAAAAAAAAATGTAACGGATACGTTCCAAAATACAATAAAGAGTGCCAGTATGAATATTGCTTGTTTAACTATTTTAAAAAAATACATGATTACCAATGGGTTAAAATTTTCTAGTGAAAAATTTATTGAGAAAACAATATTACAATATTTGTAGCAACAGATTAGAAAATTAAGATAATACATCAAAATAACATTTAATTATTTGTTATAACATTTAATTATTTGTTATAACATTCAAATATTTTATAAGCATACATTGTTTACACGTTTCTGGTAATGGGCAAAAATGTGGCTATACCTTGTACCGAGACATTCAAGCTACTTTCGAAATATGAAAATTTGTTACAATGCGAGGCATTAAATTTAATATAAGTGTGACCTACTCAGTGAACTTTTTCAGCTAAACATTTTTTAAGCATGCAAGATCACTTTTTAAAGGACAATGAGTGAGGTAAATATTTATGTTTATTTTTTTATACATTTCGTTTCTGCAGCTCACAATGACAATTGTAAAATTATAATATTGTATATTATGAATTCTGTTGACTTTAAATATACACTAATAATTTTTGTTTTGTTTTTTTGTTATTGACTCGATTTTTGAAATGCCTCACAATGGCACAGAATATTAGTAAATAATTTAAGCTATGCAAGATTTTGAAATAAATTTAGCATTATTATTAGGTTAGTTTCACTATTAGTGACTTAATTATAACAATTTAAATAGTTGTTTATAGGTGATATCTTGGTGCTTTCAACTACTTCACTTGTTTAAAATGATGACAAGAATTTAATGAAGCTTTTAACCACTCAAAATATATTTATTTCTTACCCCCACGCTAAACACTTCCTCGACTTCATGTGTGCCTTCTCTCAATAAACAGGGATTTTAACATTTTTTTGCAGCGCCACACCTCCTCTTGAACTCAAAACTTTCTCCACTCCCGCATCTTGATTTCAAAACTTGTTTTCCTCACCCAACAATAAAAATTCAAACAAAAATGCAAATAAATCCAATTTTATGGCTCTTCCCGCACCCCCCCCCCCCGCACAGCCTCCTGCATCCACAGGGGGTGCAGACACGATTAGTTAAAAACTCATTCCTTAACCCTTACGCATTCCACCAAGTTCTTGAACTCAAAACTTTCTCCACTCACGCATCTTGATTTCAAAACTTGTTTTCCTCACCCAACAATAAAAATTCAAACAAAAATGCAAATAAATCCAATTTTATGGCTCTTCCCGCACCCCCCCCCCCGCACAGCCTCCTGCATCCACAGGGGGTGCAGACACGATTAGTTAAAAACTCATTCCTTAACCCTTACGCATTCCACCAAGTTCTTAATATATGTAACATCTCTGACCACCACTCACACTTACCTAATCCTTCTCTTAATCCTATATCTCTTCCCCACACGTTTTCATATACCCATTACCCTCTCCATCAATTTGATTTTAACCTCACAACACTGTTCTCACAACCTGCCCTCTCACCTCTGATTTCTCAATACTAACATCCCTTGTCCACCTCTGCTGCTTTTATCTCCCATTAATGTTCCCTCCACTTCTTCCCACATTCTCTCCATTTTAGCCAATACCCCCTTTCTCGCTCTTACACGCTCCCATATTTCATTCTCTTACCAATTGCCTCATTGCCCCTACCTCACCATAACATACACTACCTCCTCCTCACCCTCTACCTCATTCCTCCTTCCAGTGCCCCCCTTACCCCTACTACAAAAGTCTAAATCTTCACATCATCTCTCCTCTAATCGCCCTTCCAACTCAAGTAATGCGTTAAGAGCACGGGTCTGCTATATTATGATTACAATCTATAAAATTAATTCTAAACAATCATCTGTATTAAAATCCTTATATCCTGGTAAAATACAATTTCGTACACATGTCTAAATTAGCGTCTAACTATAGGGCCTATAGACGAGTAGAATGTAATAAATTAATATGAATAGAATCAGAGTGTATCCCCTCCTCCTTACACATATTCTAACTCTCTCTCTCTCTCTCTCTCTCTCTCTCTCTCTCTCTCTCTCTCTCTCTCTCTCTCTCTCTC